AGCTACTACTCAGTTTTCAGATTTGGCACATTTCCTAAAGTACTCTTCACACTCTCCTACTTTTTCATAAGAGAACTTCTGGCAGGAACATTCCACTGCATTCCATCTGCAGTCAGCTATAATCCCTGCAAATATCAGTCCAGGCCAGTTTTGCAGCATAGCTGCCTTTTTAATACAGCTAATACATGTGACTGTAGCAAACTCATTTCATTTTTTGCAACAATTCTATGCTCAGAATATATATGTGCACTCTCCCAAGCTAAGTCCAATGGTTTTTCTTTTTAAACAAGCCATTAATATTTCTAAAAACAGCATCTTTCACACAAATGCCTCACTTAAGATCTCTCACTTAAAAATTATGTTACACATTAATCCTTACTAAAAAATGGCCATATAAGATCAACAACAGAAGCAGGAAACAAAAAAAATGCCAAAAATTCTAGACAAAAAATTTCTTATGTTGGGGACCAGCAGTTAGCATAATGGCTATGTCACTGGATTCCCATGTAGTCGACCACGGTTCGTGTCCCGGACCCGGTGGCTTGAAACTCACGCAGGGCGCGAGTGCGTGCATGCCCAAGAACCCATGAGGAGAATGAAGAAGGGACTGCAGCGTGGCCATCTCCCCTGGAAGGTGATTTCTCACTTTCTATCTCTCTCTCTGTCTGTCTGGCGAGCGCACGTGCCCTATGGCAAAAACCTCTCAAAAAAATTTTTTTTTCTTATGTAGTAGATAACTACCATATGCAATTAGCTGCGGTCCAAGATCAGACACTCTTCAAATGAGCCAAAATGATCCCAAATCTCTGAGCCATTACAAAATAAGTATTTAACTAGAAAACTAACTCTAACTTTTCTAGGGCTGATTAATGAGAAATGCTGTTTCAGTAGGATAATGTTAAGTCACAAATTAGGGGTCAGCAGGTGGTGTGACGGTTATGGCACTAGACTCCCACATGGCCAAACAAGGTTCAAGTCTCAGACCAAATGGCTTGAAAATCACTCCAGAAATATGTGCTTGCAAGCTCACAATCCCCAGTAAAGAATAGAGGAGAAGAGATTTCTGCATGGCCATCCTCCCTGGGAGGTGATTTCTCATTTTACCTCTTTCTCTTTCTCTCTGGAGTACACACACCCTATGGCAAAAACCTTAGGGGGAAAAAAAAGGTCACAAATTACTCCTGCTGAGATTTTGCATTCAGGGAGTCAATGTGTTAAACAGCCAGTTGAGGGCCAAGAGAACTGAAACACCACCACTAATAAGGACTACTAAGCTATAATTCTGAACTTGTTACCAAATCTATAGTTTAAATCCTACTCACTCTTCAAAGTCTAGCATTTTAAATAGTATTATCAATGAGGGCTTATATTTACCAAACAAGCATACGCTCCTTTTTGCAACTCTTTTTTAATGGCAATTATCAGTCTGATCACTTCTATCTTGTACTGAGATTTAGTATGTCTTGATTTCCTACCACAATCTAAAAACTCCTTAAGGGTCTCATGGTGCATATGACTCTGTCATCTCTACACATCACATTACAGCAGACTCTCAAAGGGCAGAAGAAAAGAAAGGTCAGGCACGGCAAAGCAAAGCCACTCAACCTGTTCTTTAAAAAGGTTTTTACAGATTTGCAACAATTATCAGTAGTTCGACACTGTGCTTAAGGTGGTCCACAGATTGGTTTTCATGGTACTAGAAAGCTATAACTAAGGCTATTCTAGCCAAATTATTAATTTACTTTTTTTCTTAAGAGGTTTTTGCACACCATGTGTGCTTACCAGAGAGACAGAGAGAGAGATAATGAGAGGGAAAGTGAAAAATCACCTGGGGTGTGGGGGGGGTGATGCCCACACCACAATCCCTTCTCCTCCATTCTCCTCCTAGGATCTGGGACACACACACGCATGTGCCTGGCATGAGCTTCAAGCCACTAGTCCAGGACCTGAACCACAGTAGGTCATGTGGGAGTCCAGCAACATAATCACTCTGCCATCTGCTGGTCCCTAATATACTTTTAATAAAAGTAAGATATTCTTCTTTAAAATTTATTGGGTCATCAGAAAAGTCATGACATATTTTTTCTATGCAAAAATGCATCTTGACTTTTCTGAGGATCCAGTAATCAAAAGACGTACCAGGGACCAGATAGTAATGCAGCAGTGAAACCCTACTCTGTGAGGCAATCCCATATAGGAAGGTTGCCAGATCAAGTCCAGAGACTTCCCTGAGTATACGCAGCAAATACTTACCTATGATCTAGGACTGCTTGACTGAAAGATTAAAGGTAGAACACAATGTCAAGACCCTAGTGAGTATGCTATCCCTTTTGCTCTTTCTCTCATGGAAGAAATAAATAAACTTTAAAAAGCTTTATCAATATTTTCAATAATTCTAGGGATTTTTGTGAGATAACCAAAAATGAATAGAAGGAATTTACATACCAATGAACTCTAAATTTCTTTTTGCAATATATTAGGAATCTTGTTTTCTTCAGTTTGCTTTCTACCACAAATGAAAACATCTGGAATCCTTTATCCAGAGTAAATATAATTGAATAATTTCACTTTATTTCCCTAAACTGACATTATTTCGTATACAATCAAAATAATAAGGTCAAAACGAGACCTAATGTCTTTTTATTAGCTATCGATAATCTTTTTTTTTTTTTTAAGGTTTTTGCCATAGGGCTCATGAACTCACCAGAGAAAGACAGAAAGACAAAAAATGAGAAATCACCCCCCCACACACCCCCTGGAGGGGATGGCCACACTACAATCCCTTCTCCATTCTCCTCCTGGGATTTTAGGCATGTATGCACACATGCCCACAGTGATTTTCAAGCCACCAGGTCCTGGACTCAAAATGCAATTGACCACATGGAAGTCCAGCACCTTAATGACCACACCACCTGCTGGTCCAATCATCAATAATCTCTTAACTCATTTTAATCCAAGTGACAAAAAAATAGCCAACATCAGAGATCAAATAGGCCCAGGATCCATTGCTTATAATTACCCAGAATTATAGGAACCCAGAACTACAGAATGTATTTTATATTATACTACATTCTCTGATAGTTTTATTTTCCTGGATACTCAATGGATTACTTCTGATACTCTATTTGGTACTTAGCATATCATTATGCATATATAGATACTTGCTAATAAGTAAAACACTGCTACTGTGTTTTTTCATGCTAAAATCTCAAAGAAAACAACTTTTACAAATTATAGACATAAATTCCAAAATTCAAATATTTAAAACATACAATGAAGACTGAAAAATAAGCTGTTATTATATATTATCACTAACTAAAAGAGGGAAAAGACTATCTCATTAAAAGATGCTGTTGTGAGAGCAGCAGGTGGCACATCGGTTAAGGAAAAGGGCTCTCACATGGCCGAGGACAGTTTGAGTCCCAGACCTGACAGCTTGAAAATCACACTGGGCACCTGTGTGTGCATGCCCAAAATTGTGAGAGAAAAATGAAGATAGGGTGGTATGGCCATATCCCTCCGGGGGATGATTTCTCACTTTCTCTCTCACTGTCTACCTCTGTCTCCCTCTAGCGAGCACTTGCACCCTATGGCAAAAATCGTAAAAAAGGAGCAAATGATGAATATTGATTTTTTTTTTTTTGGGGGGAGAGGTTTTTGTTACAGGGCGCATGCACTAGCCAGACACAGAGAGACAGAGAGACAGAAAGCGAGAAATCACCCCCTAGGGGGGATGGCCACGCCGCAATCCCTTCTCCTCCATTCTCCTCTAGGGATCTTGGGCACTCACGCACGTGCGTCTGGCATGAGTTCTAAGCCACCGGGTACGGGACACGAACCACGGTCGACTACGTGGGAGTCCAGCGACATAGCCATTACACTAACTGCTAGTCCCAATCAATACTGATTTTTTTAAAAACAACTTTATTGAAATAGAGTTTATATATCGTAAGTTTATCCATTTAAAAAGTACAATTCAATATTGACCTCTGTGATCTTTTTATTTGACAATTGTTGCTAGGATATAACTCAGAATGAATGGCGCAACTGACAAACAACAGTAAAATCCAATGGTATAAGCTGCTTACATTCCTCCTTTTGAATCTTTAAAAAAACAGACTGCTGCAAGCTCTGCCTATCAAGTTCAGAGAAGAGTATAAGCAATGGAATGTTGGAAGTTATAGAGGAGCTACCCTGTCATAAAAGTAGCAGTATCTGTTTTCATATGGACAAACATTTTTCTGTGGTAGACTCCTCTATTCCTCTACATAGAACAACAGAGCACACAAGCACAGAGGTCAGAATGCTTACTTCAGCAGTAACTTTTGTCTGAAAGAACTATGATTCTGCTTTATCACAAAATTACAGATTTAAAGATGGCAGAACCTTTATTTTTAAGTAATTTGTTTACAGATCCGTATCAAGTCATTCAGTAATGCAGGAACAAAAGAAATCAGTTAAGTAATTTTTTTACCCAAACAATTCTCTGAAAATGACTCGTTAGGAAGAAATGACTGATAATTTTAGCAATAACTTGTAACTTTCCTATATAACATAATTATGTCCAGCGTTCAACTCAAAGAACCATCATAAAATAAGAGAGTAAGTTTTAAGACCATCTTGGCAAACTTAGCAAGTTCAAGTGCTACTTAAAATCAAGAAAACCAAACAATACATTCTGGAGCTTCAATGGGTATATTTCACATCAGGATTTAGCAAAAATCACTACTTATACCTTTATTATCATTCAGATTTTAACTTAAGCATTAACACTAACTAAAGTAGTTCAGTTATTCAGGGTTTCTCAATTGTAAAGAGTAAAATAAACAGTCACATTTAAGTATACTGCAGCAAATATCACAGAGCGGAAAGCAGTCAACAGATCTTTAAGAAGAGCAAAGTGTTACTACACAAGTGTTCATTTATTCTGATCACAGTAAAAAACAGAGGTTGGAGGAGGGGACGGTCAGAGATGTAACTGACAGAAAACATGTACTCACTTGTTGAGTTGCCTTGCATCTGAATGATGCACTTGGACTCCTTGCTGGTCTCTCGAGAATTGAAGGGCCTCACCCGGACAGCCACCTTTACTGAGGCTCCCGACATTCTGATGGCCTTGTTAAATATATGCAGTCCAGAAATCAAGAATTAAGTCTTCTTTTGAAGATATGTTTAAGTGTCCTTTAAATACAAAAGTTCCATACAAGATAGTCAGAATTGAAGAAAGCATGGGCTAACTTAAGCATAATGGCTACTGTCCTAGTTCTATTTTTGTTGACATTTCTGAAAACCTCATTTCTTTGCTCCCCTGCAAAAATTGTATTTTATTACAGAGATTTTTGCTATAGGGTGCATGTGAGAGACAGAGAGACAGAAAGCAAGAAATCATCCCCCCACACAGGGAAGATGGTCATGCCATAGTCCCTCCCCCTCTAGGGCTTTTGGGGGCACATACACATGGACCCCGCGTGAGTTTTAAACCGCCAGGACTTGAATTGTGGTCAACTACATGGGAGTCCAGTGACATAGCCATTATACCACGTGCTGGTCCTCAAATCTTGTATTTTCAGTAGTAGATTACCAAATAGAAAATTAAAGACTGAAATTTACTTTCCTATTCTATTATCTGTTTCTCATTCCTAAAAAGTCCCTAAACTTATTAAAAGTAATAGGCATCTATCTTGCTTTCTGTGCTTCTGGATCAATCTGAAAAATACCAAATATTTATTTGTTGAAGAAGTTCCTTAAACAAGTATTTCCATCTATAAACCACTTACTACTTTTGCTTAAAGAAATGCATTGAACTTTCTATACTTTAATGATAGTTTGAAACATTTGATTACATAAAATACAAGAAAACATCAAAGGACAAAGATAAGTTCCAACCAAGAAGATACCTTATCTCTATTTCATTTGACCCTCACAAACACAGCCTACAATAAGTAGAGAAGGTTCCAAGAGACCTAGATCCTATCCTCAGATATGCCACAGATATTCTGGCAGAATCCACTACTTCATTACTGAATGAAGCCACAGGAGAAACATGAACATTTCTCAATGGAATAGCTTCCCTCCCAACAAAGCAACACCGACACTGACAGATCTACATATTAACTTCCACAAGAAACGACCAGTCTTGCTAGTCAATAAGAAATCCATACCCTTTCTATTGTATACACATCTTCAAGAAGAACCAAACAAAAGGAAAAAACTAGATCCGGCCTCTGTGGTACAGGCCATAGTGTGCTGAACTACGGTGCTAGAAACCACATGACTGACCACCAGGTTTGGATCAACCTGGAACATGCTAGGTGCACACGCAAGTGCTCAAGATCCTGAGAAGGCTCCTTCCAGCCCAACACCCTGTGAAAAGCCAGAATCCACATGTATTTGAGGTAGGCTTTCCTTGCCCCTTTAACTGGAAAAAGCCTCTGTCCCAAACCTCTCCTTCCAGCCCAACACCCAGTGAAAAACTAGGTAGGAAGTAACGCATAATCCATCAGATGACCAGAAACCACCACCACAGAGGCACAAGAAATATGGGAAATCAAGAAAATATCTCTCCTCCAAGGGGAAAGAACAGTCCTTTATCATCCACAGACAGTACAATGGAATTCCTGGAAAGGTCAGATAAAGATTTTAGGATATTCATAGTGATAAAGCTAACAGAGATGCAAGAGAAGAGAGACAATAAACTCCAGAAGATGTAGGAGAAAAGAGAGAAGTTACAGGAGGTGAGGAAGTTCTTCCATGATCTGAAAGAGGAAATATACATCATAAAAAAAGAATCAAATAGAACTGTTAGAAATGAAGGCTCTAATACAGGAAATCAAAACCTCCCATGAAAGTATCAAAAGCAGGTTAGCTCATGCAGAAGATCGAATCTCAGATATAGAAGACAGAACCCCTGACAGAAAAGACTGAGAAAATAACCCCCCAAAATGAGAATAACATACAAGTAATACTAGATATCATTAGACACCCAAACATCCAGATCATTGGTATCCCAGAAGGTGAAGAAACTAATCAGGGCATTGATAATCGATTCCATGAAATCCTGGAAGAAAACGTTCCAAACCTAGAGAGGCTTTCAAATATCCAGACCCAAGATATACAAAGGACCCCACATATAATCAACCCAAGAAGATCTTCACCAAGGCACGTAATAGCCAAATTGACCAAACAGAGATAAGATATTAAAATTGGCAAGAGAAAACATCAAGTTACTTTCAAAGGATTGTCCCAAAGGCTAACATTGGACATCAGAAACAATGCAGGCAAGGAAAGAATGAGAACATATATTCAAAATGTAAAGTGAAAAACAATTTCAACCAAGATCTTTAAGAAGAGCAAAGTGTTACTACACAAGTGTTCATTTATTCTGATCACAGTAAAAAACAGAGGTTGGAGGAGGGGACGGTCAGAGATGTAACTGACAGAAAACATGTACTCACTTGTTGAGTTGCCTTGCATCTGAATGATGCACTTGGACTCCTTGCTGGTCTCTCGAGAATTGAAGGGCCTCACCCGGACAGCCACCTTTACTGAGGCTCCCGACATTCTGATGGCCTTGTTAAATATATGCAGTCCAGAAATCAAGAATTAAGTCTTCTTTTGAAGATATGTTTAAGTGTCCTTTAAATACAAAAGTTCCATACAAGATAGTCAGAATTGAAGAAAGCATGGGCTAACTTAAGCATAATGGCTACTGTCCTAGTTCTATTTTTGTTGACATTTCTGAAAACCTCATTTCTTTGCTCCCCTGCAAAAATTGTATTTTATTACAGAGATTTTTGCTATAGGGTGCATGTGAGAGACAGAGAGACAGAAAGCAAGAAATCATCCCCCCACACAGGGAAGATGGTCATGCCATAGTCCCTCCCCCTCTAGGGCTTTTGGGGGCACATACACATGGACCCCGCGTGAGTTTTAAACCGCCAGGACTTGAATTGTGGTCAACTACATGGGAGTCCAGTGACATAGCCATTATACCACGTGCTGGTCCTCAAATCTTGTATTTTCAGTAGTAGATTACCAAATAGAAAATTAAAGACTGAAATTTACTTTCCTATTCTATTATCTGTTTCTCATTCCTAAAAAGTCCCTAAACTTATTAAAAGTAATAGGCATCTATCTTGCTTTCTGTGCTTCTGGATCAATCTGAAAAATACCAAATATTTATTTGTTGAAGAAGTTCCTTAAACAAGTATTTCCATCTATAAACCACTTACTACTTTTGCTTAAAGAAATGCATTGAACTTTCTATACTTTAATGATAGTTTGAAACATTTGATTACATAAAATACAAGAAAACATCAAAGGACAAAGATAAGTTCCAACCAAGAAGATACCTTATCTCTATTTCATTTGACCCTCACAAACACAGCCTACAATAAGTAGAGAAGGTTCCAAGAGACCTAGATCCTATCCTCAGATATGCCACAGATATTCTGGCAGAATCCACTACTTCATTACTGAATGAAGCCACAGGAGAAACATGAACATTTCTCAATGGAATAGCTTCCCTCCCAACAAAGCAACACCGACACTGACAGATCTACATATTAACTTCCACAAGAAACGACCAGTCTTGCTAGTCAATAAGAAATCCATACCCTTTCTATTGTATACACATCTTCAAGAAGAACCAAACAAAAGGAAAAAACTAGATCCGGCCTCTGTGGTACAGGCCATAGTGTGCTGAACTACGGTGCTAGAAACCACATGACTGACCACCAGGTTTGGATCAACCTGGAACATGCTAGGTGCACACGCAAGTGCTCAAGATCCTGAGAAGGCTCCTTCCAGCCCAACACCCTGTGAAAAGCCAGAATCCACATGTATTTGAGGTAGGCTTTCCTTGCCCCTTTAACTGGAAAAAGCCTCTGTCCCAAACCTCTCCTTCCAGCCCAACACCCAGTGAAAAACTAGGTAGGAAGTAACGCATAATCCATCAGATGACCAGAAACCACCACCACAGAGGCACAAGAAATATGGGAAATCAAGAAAATATCTCTCCTCCAAGGGGAAAGAACAGTCCTTTATCATCCACAGACAGTACAATGGAATTCCTGGAAAGGTCAGATAAAGATTTTAGGATATTCATAGTGATAAAGCTAACAGAGATGCAAGAGAAGAGAGACAATAAACTCCAGAAGATGTAGGAGAAAAGAGAGAAGTTACAGGAGGTGAGGAAGTTCTTCCATGATCTGAAAGAGGAAATATACATCATAAAAAAAGAATCAAATAGAACTGTTAGAAATGAAGGCTCTAATACAGGAAATCAAAACCTCCCATGAAAGTATCAAAAGCAGGTTAGCTCATGCAGAAGATCGAATCTCAGATATAGAAGACAGAACCCCTGACAGAAAAGACTGAGAAAATAACCCCCCAAAATGAGAATAACATACAAGTAATACTAGATATCATTAGACACCCAAACATCCAGATCATTGGTATCCCAGAAGGTGAAGAAACTAATCAGGGCATTGATAATCGATTCCATGAAATCCTGGAAGAAAACGTTCCAAACCTAGAGAGGCTTTCAAATATCCAGACCCAAGATATACAAAGGACCCCACATATAATCAACCCAAGAAGATCTTCACCAAGGCACGTAATAGCCAAATTGACCAAACAGAGATAAGATATTAAAATTGGCAAGAGAAAACATCAAGTTACTTTCAAAGGATTGTCCCAAAGGCTAACATTGGACATCAGAAACAATGCAGGCAAGGAAAGAATGAGAACATATATTCAAAATGTAAAGTGAAAAACAATTTCAACCAAAAATACTGTATCCAGCAAGATTATCCTTGATGTGGGATGAAAAGATAAAAGCATTCTCAAAGTTACCTATTCTTTGAATTCTTGTATTTTATAATACAATATAATACATTACTTATGAAATACTGTAAGAAAACTTATAAAACATATAATTACACTATTCTGTCTCGGCCACGTGGGAGTTCAGTGCCCTTAACCACCACGCCACCTGCCGGACCAACTAGCCGCTACTCTTTAAATTTTTATTTATTTATTTCTCCCATGAGAGCAGACAGACCAATACACATGTGCGTGCGTGCATACACACACACACACATGCACACAAGCATGTGTGCGCATGCACACACACGTACTCCCATCAGGGTCTTCACATAACCCACTCCCAGCCTCCACCGGC